ATCACAAAAATTTGTTGCCGTGAAATCACCTTATATTCTCACACCGTGGCTACCACAGATGTATCTAGGTGTACTATAGGGGATATGATAGTTTTCCCGCGTTTTTAGTGACACACGACATGTTATAGTGCATTATAATCAATTACAATTGAAATCAGCTGATATTGTGAAAGAAGAGGGTGAATTACTGAGGGTTCAAAGCGTTTGCTTAGTGCGCAGACGCAACTTTATTTCCACGACAGTGCATCACTGGTCCACAATGCGCAGCGAGCTACTACGTGACAAGGATCTCGCCTCATCGTTCCCGTCGTCGTTTTTCTTCGGTTAATCAGTGGTGATCTCGACACTTTGATACGTTTGACAAATATATTTCTGGCATCTTTTACACAAATTCGCGTGCGGTCCTAACAGCACGCCGAACTTTTCGGCGCACGATGCACATGAACAAACACAGCCATTTTCGCCGGTACACCGGCTTCCACGGCAGTGTCTGCTGTCTCTTTCTCTGGCCATTAGCAAAATATATGTCAAATATGTCATGTGTAGTGTTGAAATGATCACTACTGATCAGTAAATCAGTAAAAAAAAAAGCGGCAACGGTAACGACGAGGTGAGATCCTCGTCACGTAGCTCGCTGCGCATTGTGAACCTCGCTCGGGAGCAGTGACATAAACTCGAAAGCGCCTGGCACAGCGGAAGCACGCACACACAAGCGAAAATTGCATACGTCACGCGTCCGTATGCCGGTACCGAATGGCTGAGCGCTAATGCGTGACGTATGAACTCTGTCCAAAAATTATGATTGCACATTCTTTTATTAAGTAGTTATATCAATAGTTAAATAGTTAAATAATTATTAAATATTATATATATATCGTAATGTCTCTATAAATCCTTTTTTTTTAGACTTTTATTAAAAATATTTTAATACCGATGTAATTATTTATTAATTTTGTAATTCGTTATTTTCAATTATACCGCCCGCTAGTAGTCTGTGAAGTGGAATTTTTTAGCATTTTATTATATATTATTTGGATTTTGATCAAAGGTTGATTAATGACGTCATTGCATGGTCTCTACCAATAAAAGACTTGAATTTATAGTAAAATAGTAATTAATCAATCTTGAATTGATCAAAATCCGTGTAATTGAAAACGCTATTTGTTACAGCGATTGGTTCCGCTGTACGCAACGATGTTGTACACCCAATAAATTTTATTAATTATTTAATTTTAAATATTATTAGTCTTTTAGAATTATTGTTGATATTGTTAGTTGGGGTAGCATTTTTAACTTTGTTAGAGCGTAAATTATTAGGTTATGTTCAATATCAAAAGGTCCTAATAAATTAAGATTTATAGGGATTATACAATCTTTTAGTGATGCTATTAAGTTATTTAATAAAGAGGTATTTTATATTTTTAAATCTAATCTATAGAATAGAACCAACAGTAGCATTGGCTGCGTTCAGCAGAACAACTGCTGAATTGTCGTCTAGTCAACACTTAACGTTGATTTGTTGGTTCTAAAAGTAAGAGCCAATCATGTTCGATTGCTACCAAGCGATTTGTTCTGCTGAACGCGCCCATTCAGTGGACTCAACAGTTGGGCAAAGTTACTAGATTTTTCGCTAAATGGTGCTATTGATTTGTTGGCTTTAAAAGTAAGAGCCAATTTCGTTCGAGTGCTGCTGAGCAATTTGTTCCGCTGCACGCGCCCAATCTGTCCAGACTCTTATTTTAAAAGATTCTACATGCATGTGTACTGAGGCTGCGTTCTGTAAAGCACATATGCGCGCATGTATCTATAGTATACGTAACGTATACTGTAGATACATGCGCGCATATGCTCTTTACGGAACGCAGCCTGTAGGTACTGTGTGGCCTCTCTGCGGCAACAAGCCGGGATTGCCTGTGATCGCCCGATTTGCGTGCATACGTAATACACGCGTTATTTATTACATCGTCTCATCGCGCTGTAAGGTGACGTGCAATATTCAACGCGCATGAAGGCGTGCACGTTATTTTTGAGGGAAAATCAGATCGAGAGTGGAGTGTTTACAATGTTGAGTCAAGTAAAATCTGCAATGCTGCACGATGAATCGATGTAATAAACAGTTTTGCGGACAATGCAAATAATATAATAACGGAAATTACTAAACGTTTTCTGTTGAAAACCGCATACTATTTCCTAGCGCAAGTCGAGTAGATGCGCAATCAGAAAGCGAATGTCAAATTTATAGTTGGTTAGATTTCCGAGATTCCAAAAAAATGTATCGAAAATTTAAGTTCGAGATAGAATACCTAACGGAGGAACACCTCACGGGCTTTGAAAGTTACAAAGTGAGCATTTGATTTATAAGTATTAATAAATATAAATTACGGAAATTTTATATATATTTATATAATTATAATATATAATACTTATGATACATAACTTATATATATAAATTTTATAAAAATGTGTTCGATTAATCAAATGAACAGTAGTTTGTTCTGTGCTGTTTGTTTTGGCCAGTACTGTAGTATTAATTCTGATGGTCTAATTTCAGTATAGCTCCTTGGATACGAGTCCTCTGAGCGTGTATGTTATGCACCCTTTTTGGAACAAAGTAGTACAGGTACAATCTGCTTTGAAGTAAATATTAAAATATAACAGGAAGATAGTTGACAATATTTATTATAGATATTGATTGTCTGATTTCAGTATTGTCCTAAATGGGTTGCTCCAAATGTACTAACTTTCTCTGGGTTTCTTTTCACTGTGTTGAACTTTATGTTATTTGCAAGTTACGATTATTACTTCTATGCGTCTAGTGATGACAAACCAGAATATCCTCCTATACCACGGTGGGTCTTTGCTGTGGCCGCTTTTAACATTTTCATGGCCTACACGCTTGGTATGTGCGTCTAATATTGATTATTATTATTATTTTAATTTTGACTCTAAATATTAACATATATTAATCATATAATCAATATAGAGTATTTAGATGATTGAGATAATCTTAATGAAATATAAAATTTATCTTTTGAACAAGAAGTAATTAAGAAAATTATATAATATACAAATTTAAATTAAATAAGATGAATAAATAGCACAATAAGTGTCATTTGATTTATAATTCTAGATTTGATTGAGTAGATTTTTTAACATATATAATAATGTTATATAAATAATGTTTACTTGTAATTACAGATGGAATAGATGGAAAGCAGGCACGACGTACACAAACGTCCGGTCCATTAGGAGAACTATTTGATCATGGTTTAGACAGTTGGACTGCTATGTTGATTACTGTGTGCATGTACTCAGTATTCGGCAGAACGGATCACAGCGTTTCACCAATAAGAATGTATTTTATATTGTGGAACGTATTTATTAACTTCTACCTGAGTCACTGGGAAAAATATAACACCGGTGTGTTATTTTTACCCTGGGGATACGATGCTTCCATGCTAGTGAGTTTAGCAGTAATGATTGAATTATAACAAAATATTTTACCTGATGATTACAATTTATGTTTTTTTTTTTTGCGGCATGTACAAATTAATCATTATTTGTGAGAATTTATATTGGCTCTTTGTTAATTTTCTAGGCAACCGTCATAGTATTTACTCTTACCAGCATAGGTGGACACGAAGCTTGGAAATTTGAATTGCCAGGCGGTGTGTCAGCGGGAATGATGTTTGAAATGTTATTTTATGTCAGTGCACTTGTGTCCAATTTGCCAGTCGTTCTTTGGAATATATACAAGTGAGTGTGTTTCCTTGTTGTGCGACAGTAAATCGTCTCATAATTTTTAACCAAACTAAGCAGTCGAAAAATGTTATACATTTAGAAAAAGATCTCGTTAAGAAACTTTTAACGTGGTAACTTTTCTTTACATACAAAGCGGATCTGAAAGGCTTTTGGTACCAATCTGAACAATCAATTACATATTTGTCTTTTACAGATCGTACAGAGATAAAACTGGCAAAATGCGAACATTTCCAGAGGCAATAAGGCCTTTAGTACCTTTGATTTTGCTCTTCGCAATTTCCACACTCTGGATATTGCACTCTCCGAGTAACGTCCTAGAAAAGGATCCAAGAATAATATATTTTGCGATTGGCACAATTTTCTCCAATATATGTGTAAGATATAGCATAGTGATTTTATTTCAGTATTATTGTTTGTTCATCAATCTATCAATATTATTATTTCGTCCTTCATTATTGCAGTGTCGATTGATCGTATCTCAAATGAGTAATACTAGATGCGAGGTATTACCTTGGATATTATTGCCAGTAGCGGTGGCCGCTATTTTCTCGTTTATCTTACCCAGAGTGGATCTGGAATCTATGTATTTAGTCTCTGTAGTAGCCGTTTTAGCACATATTCATTATGGCGCTTGTGTGGTAAGTTTAATGACAAGTTATAAGATCGTATTTGTAATTTACAAAACACTCGTATATCTTTAATTATATATAATTTATGATTATATCAATTGTAATTTTTATAACGTAAGATACTTGATCACTTGTCACTTATACGTCATATCAATTTTGCAGGTACGTCAAATGTGTCGCCACTTCCGCATTCAAACCTTCTCTATAAAAGATCATTCCGAATGACTACTTGCCGACGATACATGTTAAAAACGAAGAAACTACGGTGAAAATGAGTCGATAAAAATTTGCCGGGAAAAGCAAACAGGGAGAAGAGATCTGACACACATGTATGGTTTCGCTATTAGAGTTCCACTACAGAGTTCATTACCACGATAAGACACTTGTCGAGAATAAAGGATTTCTAGACTCTCGCGCCTTTTAGGAGAACGTGTGCCGTTCACACGAATTACTACAGAAAAGTGTTATCCGCAGAGATTTGATAGTAGCATCCATTTTCTTTACGCATTCACTATCTAAAAGTCACATCCTCCGAATCGTTTATTTCGATTATATTTAAACGAGAGCCAAGTTTTTTATCCAAACCGGTTCGATTAATTTACTGTGATATAACTTGATTATGCGCATAACTCTCTCCAAATGCACCGATTGGTCTGTAAACGTTCTCTATTTTGTATCCCCCTTAAGAACATTGAGCTTGTGTGTGTACAAATACTTTTTCTTTGAATGCTGCCAAACTCATCAAGCGGTAAACTAAAAATGCACCTCTTCGTTTTCGACATGTATCGTCCCTCGGACGTTATATTAATCGATGTATGTACGTACCAATAATGGAATGATCCATTTATCTACTCTCTTCTTCTTTTCTTTTTTCTTCTTTTCTAGTTTGTTTCTTTCGTATATTTAGAAATTACACGAGAAACGTATAAATCATCCATTGGTAGTTTATATATGTTTCGATTGTAGAATAATCTGTTGTAAAATACTTTAAATTGCATTTAGTGCAAGACGCTACGGCGTGATGAGTAAGAAAGGAGCGAGTGTATATTATTATATCCGTTGAGTGTATATTTTGTGTCGAGATGTATATCAATTATGTCATATAATCGCAATGCAAAATTTCGATATGACAAAATGTAATATTGTGGAACATTGCTAGCAAGTTTTTTTTAATTTTTCCATTATACTTTAAGATGTAAACTTTTGCACTTGTAGATACGTTAAAACGATATGTTTTCCTTGAACGTGTAAGATAAAATATGTTTAAGATATGTTGGAAGAAGTTTAGATAACAAAGTTTGCTGAGCATTCATTTCTTTCAATGAGATTAATATATTTCAAGCTTGAACTTTATTGGACTATATACATAACGTATTATGATGTAACATTGCGAGCATTGAAAAATTTACATCGTCGAATAAAAAATATTTTTACAAAGTACGATCTGTGTACATCGATTGTTACCTAGAGTTAAGGAAATCAGCTTTTATCTTTGCACGCTCCTTCGGAGGCGGCATATATGGCTTGATACCTTTTAATTTGCGCTCAGACTGTACAGTAGCCTGAAAAGAGAGATATTGTTAACTATTTTACAGGCATAAATAAATATTTTAAGAAGAAGAAAATTACCCAAAAATCTTTACAGTTTCTATAGTTGACAAAGTATACTTCACACGCACTACGTGTCTCCTGGTTGGAATCGAGGCATTTTAAAGATAAGAGATGCTCCTACAAAAATTTAGAGGACATAATATACATTACGGATAAAAAAACTGTGCAAATTCCGTTCTTTTTCTTGCATTTGTCAATAATGGTACCGTCTTTATATTTTTTCTCTACTTCATTGTATGGACACATGTGATCGAAGGCACAACCTGTGTAAATAACATTCAACGATTATAAATTATTTGAATACCTTGTGACAAGGATTATTTTCTTCCTGGTCACGTCGTAATCTTTTCGCAGGATCTACTCCTTTATTTGTAACGTTATTTCCTTGAACACTCATCTCGCCGACATAACCGCTGACATTGAAACAAAAACATAACCTCATTCTTCCCAAGCTGAAAGTTTGGAACTTTAGTATCCGATCGAAGTGAAAATGGAAATCAATGTCGGCGATGTGGTGATGCCGGGTGACAGTTTAAAGAGCATCGTGCCAATCAAGAGAGAAGGAAGAGAAGATAGAGAGACTGTGATCCTGGGCCCCGGATTGCGCCGTGAAGATGACACTGTGTTCGTCTGTAAAGCGGGTATCCTGAAGAGACGCGATCCGGCCGTATACTACGTCGACAGCTACCAGAAACGGTATGTAGCATTGTTATTTTCGATAATAAGCACACGATATTATTCTTCAAGAATCAAAATGATCTTGACAATTCTCTGATCGCAATTAAATCTACTTTAAGATACTCTTTCACTTGCGCACAGATATATTCCCAGCCGAGGTGAGAACGTGGTCGGTATAGTGACGCAGAAGAGCGGCGACATTTACAAGGTGGACATAGGAGCCAGCGAACAAGCGACACTCTCCTACCTGGCCTTCGAGGGTGCCACGAAGAAGAACCGACCCGACCTGCAGATCGGCGATGTAGTGTACGCCAAGCTGCTGATCGCCGGCAGGGACATGGAGCCCGAATTGGTCTGCGTGGATTCTCACGGCAAGGAGAACGAGCTCGGTGTGTTGAGCTCAGACGGCATGATGTTCAGCTGTTCGTTGAGCCTTGTGAGAAAAATACTCAATCCGGACTGTCCGTTGTTCAAATTACTCGGTCGGAATCAAGCGTATGAAATTGCCGCCGGGATGAACGGCAGGATATGGATCAAGGCGCAGTCGGTTCCAGAGACAATTGCAGTGGCAAACGCCATTCTAGCGGCGGAATACACGATAGCCAGTGAAATGCAGAGGCTCTGTGCTAGAATCGAGAAAACTTTGATGTTGGTGATATAATTTTCACGCAGGGATGTTGGGACTGATTTGAAAGAAACTTGACTTTATAAAATAAAATAAAATAGTACCCATTTTTGTTTTGGAATGTCTAATTGCATTTCAAACTAGTTCTAATATGTAAAATAATGGTCGAGCAGATAATTGGCGAAAAATTAAAACCAAACGCCATACCAACACTTTTCAATATACCTTGTACATATTTAATTATTACAGTGACAACCATTGTGATAAATCGCCGTGATAACTATCTTGATAATAAATTAAAATTATAGGTACAATTATTCATATTCTTTATATTAAAAATCCTTTCAAATCGACCGTTTTCTATACTATTAGTATACGAATTTTAATTACAGAAAAGAATTTTTCATTTCACACCAAAAAAAGAATTTCACAAAAAATAAAAGTCGGTACAACAGGACTCTGGGATTCCCTTATTCATATCTATCCATCCATCATTGATTCGTTATATGTGCATCAGTGGAAATGAATTCATGATTGCATACAGAGTGATTCTAATAACTGGGCTATTATAGTTCTTTTCCAAGTCAAATAGAAAAAAATTCTTCACTGTTTAACATGATCTCTCATAATAAATAATAAGATTCCTTTTACTATTTTTTTTTCCATCTCGACTTGGAAAAGAACTGTAATCCAATTACTAGAATCGCTCTGTGCAAGCTGTCGGTACAAGACTAATAATTAAATAGAAGTAAAGGAATATTCGCTTCGTACGAAATTTAATATTTAATTTTAACAAAGAAAACTTGGTGACATTTGAATATTACACATATCGTATTACACTAGTAACCACAAGCGGTATATCGATATATAAATACAAAGTGACAAGCGCTGATAATTTTCATTACATCTGATATGTGCTCTAGTGCTCTCTTCAGCTTGCTCGAGCTATGTACGTGTAGGTTAGACGACAGTGACGGTAATTGCACTCAAGCACAACCTTTACTTTCTCATTGCAAAGTGACAATCGAAAAGCAACAATTCAAGTCCAGAGAATATACCGCTACTATTTCCGCGTAATTTTTTTTTCCAACTAAGCTTTACACAGAAGAAGATACCTTTGTACTTGATGGAATGTGTTCATTGCCATCGCTTTCTAATTAAGCGTACATGCGAGAAAATCATTGGTGTAGCAATTTCAAAATCAATCGATATCTGCGAAAATTCTTAAAACGGAAAGATAATAAAATTCTGTTTTTATTTCTAAACACATGTGTCACGCATATTTTACAAAATTGTCGAGACGAATTATTGAATTCCAATGATTTTCTATTTCTCGTCATCGCACAGCGAATATTTCTGCACTGATGACAGTAACAACTTATATTAAATGCGCAGCACTTATTGCGCTTGATCGATTGACAGTTCAATGACACATAAATACAGATTACAAGTAGAAAAAAAGAAAAAAACGATATATGCGCAATAGAGCGCACACGTAACAAAAAAGTCAAAAGATGTAGCAAACAAAACAACGTATTGACGTAACAGAAATATACCTATTAAAGCTAAACTATTGTTTTTGGTCATTTATGGCCCCTGCCCTCCATTTCACAGCACCATTCTAAAATAAAATGTTAATCTAAAAGCTATAAAAAAAGACACCATATTTAGGGTCGAATTTCCTTCACACAGGACAGACACAAAGTTCTGAGTCTTGCAAAATCTCTGCAAAAAATGCAAAAAATAAGACAGAAGATAAAGTAATTACATCTTGAAAATTGTGTCTCGGAAGCTCTTGAATTATAAAAGTAAAATTATTATAAAATTTAGAATTATAATTACATAAAATTGCAAGATGTGTCATAATCAAAATTACATATGTGAAATAAATCACAATTGCTTTGCTTCCTACATTTTGAAATAAATATCTCTGAGATTGAAATCCGCCCCTGAATACGGTTTATTGCACGCTAATCACAAGAAATCACCGATCAAGTCGAACGCATTCGTGACATTATCTACCGCGATACATTTTCTTTCGCCGAACTAGTATTTAATTCAATGAGTTTAAACACAAATGTGCCACGCCAGCAATGCGTAACAGATGTAGTTTTTACAAGAAACGAAGAAGTTGCAAGTCACGTAGAAAGAAACGGTGTGAGCTATTAACATCTAGTATGAAACTATCGGGTACATTCTGTATATTATGGAAGAAGCCGCAGCGCTTTTTTTTTTTGTAAAAACCACACACTTATGCTTATCGCACATCAGGATGTAATTAGGCAGGCAAATATGTATGTTGGGGACGATACATGGCGGCACTAGCAACCATAAACGCACTATTCTATGGCATTGTGCTCCGCTTAATATATATGTTTCATTGAGTGCGCTAATCATCGAGGTATGTCGGGGATAATTATGTGAAATACATTTTATGATAGGGGAGATTAAATATGCACGCACATCTATTGCGGCGATATGCAGACGAACAATTACAGCTGAAATGAGCTTCAAAAGAAAGCAAGAGTCTATTTCGCGGAAGAGAATAAAAATTGCGGTGATTCAAACTGAAGGAAGAGAGAGAGAGTTATTCAAGGTGAGGCATCGACAAAATGTCGTACTGGCGAAAAGAAATTGATCCGAAAGACATTCCGCAATTTCAATTTTAAAGTAAAATATTTATTAAAATATATTAAATTATTAAAATAACATTAAAAAATTAAAAAATGTAATAATAATAGAAATATGTAATAATAATACAACGATAAAATAAACTTTTAAGTTTTAAAAAATAATATACTATATAAATATTACTATAAAATAAGGCACAATACTACACTTTTAAACAACACTACACAAAAAAGTGCAACATGAAATCAGAAGTTTAAAATACCTTGTAAAAGCTATCGAGAAAAAGATTTCACGATATTTTTCAATGTCTCGCCTCGAAAATGTTGAAATATGCGTCTACAGATTACTACAATAGCCGATGAATTATTACTGTTTGTGATATGAATGTAAATATTCTGCCATTATTACTGTAGGTACACGTTTACACTCGTAACCAGATAATATCAAAGTCGTATCATCTAAAATTTTATCATTTGAATATTTTTCCCTATGACTCCTATTTCACTTTTGCGTCCACCTAGATTTATTTATCAGCGATCTTCTTACTCAACTCTAACCGTAGAAAGGAATAGAAAATATATTTGCTATATAAATATATATGTGGCGGTATATAAAGCGCGCAGTTGGTATGTCAATTCTTCATTTGTCACACATCATTGTCATTTTTCGCTTTTTTTTTTATAGTGATAAGAGACTTCAGTGGACGCGTTATCTACGCTACTAAAAATAATTTTCATTACACGAATGTTTTTTTTTATGCACGTAGATATGCTATTTACTCCACACAGTACAATGGCAGAAATTCCGTAATGCAAAGATGCTCTCTAAAGTTTGTTATCATAATCCTTATACCAGTTTGGTAAGTTTAGTTATAAGAATAATTTGTTAGATTACACTTTCGCCTTTGAAGTAAAACAGCTTTTTTTAATAGTTTTTGCTATAGGCATTAGGTGTGTATAGTATATTTATCGTTCTACCTCTTTGACAAAAAAATAAACAGTTATGCCTAAAAGTTGTAGGAAAGTCTGAAGAGTCGTACAATCAAGAATTAGACGACTACTGTACACATCTGAAAAACTGATCGCAAACTGCGAAATCAAATACGCGATCGTGTGGACAATTATAATTTTATCTAAAATACATAATGTGCGGAATTATATTTGTAAATCCTAATCGCTATATTATTTTCCTTGTAACGAGTATATATAAAAATGCAAATCTATATTATAAGTATATATTATTATATTAAAAATTTAATACTACAATAATTGTTTATTATTGAAGATGCTACGCAATATTCTTAATCAATTTGCATTTCGAGCGAAAGTAATACGACTCTTCCGACAATTAAAAGAGGGATGCACAAATGACTTTTTACGAGCGACAATTTGTCCATCGGCGAAGCGAGAGATGGATATTGCGGCCATTGTCTATCTCGATAGATAAATATTATCATCAGGTTTCAGCACAATTGTAATGTATATAAAAAATTGTCTTTGCTTACGCCTACAGTAGCATAATACTTCGGTAGTATAAATATATTTATATATATGTATATATATATATATACGCACATATACATATATACGTATTCCCGTATCATTATTATAATCATTATTATTGTATTATTTTCCTTACGTAGATATATCTATACCATTCACAACACAGAGTGCACAGTACGAAGCTGAATGTCGATCCGCTTATCCTTTCATCACATTCCTTTACACACATACGTATACTTAAGAATGTGTTGAAAGGAGAAACAAATCCGAAAGCCTCAATGTAACAACGCACAACCAATTTTTATACAACCTGCGTGCACAAAGTATTTTGTCACTTCATAGTTGACTTGTGTATGTGTCGCGCTATGCGCTTAAGTTAATTGTTAAAATTAAGATACGACATCTCATCAATATTAAGACAGTTCCAACGATACAAAAATGTAGAAAGTGAGTAGGATCGGGTATATAAAGAAAATATTGTAGAAAAACCAGCAGACAAAACAGTTTTTTGCTTCACTTGACCGTAACTTCCGCGGAAATTACGGTCAAGTAATTGCGCGCACGTAACTGACGATATACGTTTATACGTACACTACTTTGACGATTGGAGATTATTCAAAATGGTTTGCAAAAGAAAATGTTATAAATTTATTTTATGAAAAATTGGTTTCTATATTTTAAATTTTGCGAGAAAAATCATTATGTGCTGTTGCTACTTTTTACTGCTCTCCACGCACGATATTAAATTATGTCATTTTTGTCATAAAGATTATGCGACAACAATGTGGTAAATTTAAATACGACTTATATAACATATTTATCTAATTTATTCAATTTTTTTTAATAATTTGAAAGTAGTTTTCCTACAATTAAACAAAATTATTCGTTTGATTAACCTATGAAAATTATTGAGTAAATTGTTAAATAGAGAATATTAATAACTACATGATAAAAAATTCTAAAAAAATTTGAGATATCGCCTTCTGACATTGCATTGAGAAATCGTTGGAACTACTTAAAAAAAAATGTTAATAATTCAACAAATACTTTCAGAAACAAAATATTGCTTTTTTCCCGCTAAAAAGCTAGCGCGATCGATGAAAGAGTAACGGAAAAAGTATAGCGAGATTATAGGAACAACAAATATTCATTTCATCACCTGCTTCTGTATCTTCTTGTTACCCCAATATCTTGACATTGAAAAATGCGCAACCTAGTGTTTCAATAGTATCATGGAATGTTATCCAGTTGCTCAATAGAAATTCATTCACATCTACTACGGTAGCGTTATTCAAAATATGTAATGTGTGTCCTTTTTCTCACCCTATTTAAACGTTAAAGAATTAAGTGCTAGCGATTATGGAGACCTTATTATTATTGTACGCGATGATGCGAAGAAACTATTACTCGCGCATCGTAGGCTGTTGTATCGAGTGATCCACATCTACCGTTTCATACTCTTTCAATGGCCGCGTTCAGCAGAACAACTGCCGAATTGTCGTCTTGTCGACACTTAACGTCGATTTGTTGGTTCTAAAAGTAAGAGCCAATCATCGTTCGATTGCTACTAAACGGTTTGTTCCGCTGAACGCGCCCAACGGCACAAATGAAATGTGTAGCAATACACATGTGTGTACCGACTTTTCCTAACATCCTTCGAATATCCGTCGTCGAAAAATAGAAGTCGGACACCGCGTCATGCGTCTCATACGGTTTATTGTATCTATTGAAACTGACTGAGATAATTCGCGTATCTGTCCGCTTTCTTCAATTGGATTTTTGCGAATCACAATGCGCGCGAGTTAGCGAGTGGATATTGTGGTTGTTTTTAAAGTAGTGCAGAATTGTGTTAAAGCAATATTATGCATCCCTCGAACAAGCGTATGCAGATTATATCGTGAAAAATATTATCGATCAGATCTAATATGTAAACAATGTCTCGAGTATACTATTATTATTACAATTAAAACGATATCTTTCTAATTCGCGGAATTTTTCCACAAAGAGCACGTAACAAACAAGTATTTATTTGAAAAAAAAGCGGTTTCTATTGTCGATATATACAAGGTGATTCAAAATAACTTGATGTCCTTGGAATGTCACATTCTTGAGCAATTTCTAAGATGATTTTTCTTTTAACAAATTTGTCCGAAGCTTAGTTTTTGAGTTATAAAAATTAAAGTCAGTTTTGAATTATTAAAAATTGTAAAAGAAAATAAAATGTTGATTTGCAATATTAAACTTATAGAAGAAATCAACCAATTAATTGTTGATAAATAAAAGCATCGTCATTCTCTAATTTGTGTAATTTGGATTTGTCACTAAAATCTAAATATTTTAATAAAAATTTTTTTTATTTTAAATAACCGTATAGTAAATAATTTAAAAAATATATATAATTAATATTTTTGTAATTTGAATTTGTCACTAAAATCTAAATATTTTAATAAAATTTTTTTTATTTTAAATAACCTTCGCTAACTATCAAACTGTCAGAAAGCGAGATAAGCAATCAGTGTCATGGAAAAGCGTCAACAATACTTCGAAACTTTCAAGATTTTCAATACATTCGAATATCGAATACCTTACATGCTTTTTTTGAATTAAATAACCGTATAATAAATAATTTTTTAAAAATAATATAATTAATATTTGTGTAATTTGAATTTGTCACTAAAATCTAAATATTTTAATAAAATTTTTAAAAATTTTAAATAACCTTCGCTAACTATCAAACTGTCAGAAAACGAGATAAGCAATCAGTGTCATGGAAAAGCGTCAACAATACTTCGAAATTTTCGATACATTCGAGTATCAATCTTCGCCTTTTTTATAGACGGATCACCACTAACAATAAGCTCAACTTTAGCTCACGAGCAACTGTATAATTATCGTATAGTGTTTTTATATTATCATGTTCTTATGATGCGTTGCACCGAATTATTTTCAATTATAACTCAAAAACTAAGTTTCGGACAAAATTTTGCAAAAGAAAGAATCGTCTTGGAAATCGCTCGAGAATATGACAAGGACGTCAAGTTGTTTTGAATCACCCTG